TTTTGCCCCCCCCCCCCCCCCGTTATATAACGTTCTTTGTAATTGTAACACTCATGCGTCTTCATTTAAAAAAAAAAAAAAATTTAAGATGGCAGAGTTTAAAACAAAGACTACGCGTGTCAGAGGCGTTCCGAGTGAGAGGAATCCTGCGACACATAGCGCATAGCATTCAATAATGGGTCTCAGTGGAAGATTCCATCATGCTACAAACATAGATGAATCACGATTAATATGAAGACTTGAGATGAGACCATTCGATAAACGTGTCGGGGAGAATAGCCTGGCTGCGCGAACACAAGGAAACAAATGTGCAGGTCATCATTTCTGGGCAAGAAGAACCCCCTGGATTAAAATGATAAGTCATTAAAAAGGTAATAATAATAATATTTTAGGAATGAAATGTTGTGTTTTTAAAGTTAAATCTAAAATATTTGTTAACTTTTGTTTATGGAGCCTATAGATTCACTTGCTGTTTTATACGTAAGTTTATAAGAAGATTCGGGTGGCTTGTAAGGTGCAAGACACCTAGCATACGGGACAAAGGGCAGCCGAAACTCAAACGTCATATAAGATTTGAAATTGTCCTTCCTTAATGCTCTGCAGGGTTGACGTTCTTAAGAAAAAGTGTTTAAAATGTTAAGCAAATAGCGAAAAGCAGAACAATTACGGTTATGAAGGGACATTGTTCCACAAAGGTTGGTTTTTTTTTTTAGGTCAACGACTTTAGAATGAACTGACTGAAAACTTTTCTTCAAATAAAGGGTAAAGTGAATTTTCACACGAATTCTTAATTGGTATTTAGATTCGCAGGAGTAACTAAGAAGTTTTATCGCATTTTGAAAAAGATTTAAAAAAAAAAAATTTTGCACTTCAAACCTTAAAATATATTTTTTTTTCAATGAAAAGAACGAATTCATATAGTCATTTAACTACATTTCAATCTTTAGCCATCGAATAGGGGGAGGTTTTCAAAGGAAAACTGTCTGGACACATCTCTGTACGCTAAAATCTTAAATGGTAACAATACGTGGAACTAAATTAAACAACGCATGTTTAAAATTCGGTCTCCAGGGACCATTTCTAGCATAGAAAAATGTAAGATAATCCAACAAATGTTTACCTCTAGAAAATTTCTTTAAAAATCGTTCTTTAATTTGTGTATAATATCTTCTGTTTCCCGGCGTTATTACGTCATTCGGACATTTCCCATCCGCCTTCTTCTTGTGTTTTTTGTTCACTCACGCTTCGGGGGCCACAAAAATCTTTGAAAACCCTGACTAAAAAGTGCCGCCACTGATTCCCTTCTGCTGTGGCTGCTGGCGGACATCAGTGCAAGCATCGACAGCCCCTACGTCAGGCGGGGGATCAGGAAGTCGGGCACAGCAGATGTTATCCCCAATGAAACGATGAGCCGAGAACGCGGAAGACCTGCTCTCAAGTCACGTCAGAGACACAAGGGCATCGTGATGGACGAACGGACGGACGGGGGAAGGGGGGGGGGGATTGTCAGACGGGAATAGCCGTGGACAGGTCTAAATGTCGTAATACCAGTCTGACGTACAATGTGACATGACCTTGGCTTGTCATTAATTAACCTCAGTGCTGTAGAGTCGAAATTTCTGAAGTCAGAGGTTGCACTTTGGAGTCGTAGTCGTAAAGGATTGAAACTTTTCTGAATAACACACAAAACACTTGCAAGAAATTTAGAATGAGTGCATGGAAACCAGACACAATGGATTTGTAATTTTGAAAAAAAATTAAAGAAAGAAATTTTCATAGCTGGTGATTCGGAGTCGAATTAAATGGAGTCGGAGTTGAAGTTGTAATCGTGGTCTTTACCGATAATCCAGACATGAGTAACCGATATTGACACACTTGTTCAGTGTCGCTGGTACAGTTAGAGCGAAGAACATAGACTTTATAAAAAAAACAGCTAAGTGAAATTGTATGTCCAGGGGGACACGACAAGGTTTACTTCTGCAAGGCCATCAATTAAGTGCACAGAGGCTCTGGGACAGCTGTTTCCAACCCATCTTCTCTAACAACCAGGGATTATCATCTCCTGGAGTTTGACCTACCCCGGGAAAACGGGAATAAGGTTTACCTTATCCCGGGATCCCGGGATAAAGTTAATTTAATTAAAAATATATTTTAAACGGAATTAAACGATAAAAGAGTTGATTTCTATAGTGGCTTCATTGTTATTGTTTATCAATGAATGAATAAAATTTTGAGGCTAGTTGAGAGGTTGGTCACGTGCTTCAAGTTTCTTCGTCTTCCACGGCTTATCCCTAGAAATGGATAACTGGCGAATAATATGATTGCTAAGCAAAAGTCGGATATAGCTGCATTAAGCAAAAAAAAAAGAAAACACATAAGACTATGTGCTTTGCATTCTTCACAGGTGACTTATTCTAGTTTAGAATCCGTCACTAAATATTTTACAAGCTAATATTTTAAACAATTAACATGTAACAATGGGTTCGTTTGGGAATGAAAATCAATTCGGGGATGTTAACAAAATAAGTCAGCGTAGTTAACTATGTTTTACAGGGCTCGGCTTATGACAACATTTTTGTGACCATCTGTGGGGGGGGGGGGGGGGGGGGGGGGAAGGAGAAAAAAATAAAATT